GTGCCCCATGAATGCATGCACCACCCTCCCTCGGTCAGGAGAAACTGTCAGTTTCAGTTCCCTCAGTTAAAACAAGACAAGCAAAGACGCAGGTTTTGAACATCTTGAAGCCAGGAAAGGGAAGTGATAATAATGTGTAATGTATTATAAATGGTAACAAAACAAAATTATTAAACACATTGGTTTCGCATGAAAGAGATATTCATGCCTCCTGTCCTGAGTCTTCACATGTCCTTTTTAATGCTTCAATATTTTTTTCAACTACTTTAATGCTCAGGGAAAAAATTAACCTTTACAATGTACCTAAATCATGGGGCGCCTCATTGGCCCAGTCACTTAAGCCTCTGACTTTGGCTCAGGTCATGACCTCACAGGTTTGTGGGTTCGAGCCCTGCGTTGGGCTCTGTGCTGACAGCTTAGTGCCTGGAGCCTGCTTTGGATTCTGTGTCTCCCTCTCTCTGCCCCTCCCCCACTCGTGCTCTCTCTGTCTCTCAAAAATAAATAAATAAATATTAAAACCCCCCCACAAAATGTACCTAAATCAAGTACAGGGGGCAGGGGGCACACATTTGCCCTCTTGCCTCAAACTCCAATATGGTTCGGAGTGGTGCTGGCTTCTATTTACAATGGAGATATTTTGTTCATCATTGATTTTTTTTTTTTTTTGGATTCACATTGATTTTTTCAAAATCATCACATGAAAATATTGCTTATCTGGTCTTAAAGTTATTGCCTCTCTCTCCTCATCCTGCTCTCAGGCCTGCCTGAGATCATCACATTAGACCAGGGCTTGCCAGCTCCCTGTGGTGGATTCCCCCACCCCCTGGGATACCTTTTACCCAAGATTCACAATCTGACTGTCTGTGTTCCAATCATGCATTTCATCCTGCTTCCTCTTTTACATTTTCTTAATCACTTTACCCATTATCCTTGTCAACATGTCAACATCACCCCTTAAGGGTGTTTTTTGCTGCAAATTATTCTAGAGACTGTGCATGTCAACATGGGGGAGATTGTATGTAAGGGGTGGGTGGAATGGAGGTATGTGGGAACTCTTTGTATCTTCCCCTCAATTTTGCTGTGAACCTAAAACTTTTCTCAAAAGAAAATTTATTTACAAAAAGCACTATGTTCCCACAGAATAGGATCTGACACTCCTCTAGTCACCTGGGAGCAGAGTGTCAGACACCAAGAAACAGGGGATCTCTCTGATGGGATGAGAAAATGCCCAGTGTCCCTGGGATCTCTGCCCGCTGAGCATGGGGGCACCAACTTCACTCACCTTTCTTGTCTGACAAGCTCACGGCCAGAATCTCCCAGGTGGTGATGGAGTCTTTCAAAAATATATTCATGGTCTTTGTGGAGATTCTGGATGGAGGAGAAGTGGGGATATTAAAAAGAGGCAGGTGTCAGAGGTACGGGGGAAGCTGGTGTGGAAGGGTCCCATGGGGCATGTTGGTGGGTTGGGTGGGGGCTGGGCACATGGAGGGAGCCTGACTCTTGATCTTCTTTCTAGGCTGGGTTGTGGAGTTGCACAGTGATTCCAGAAAAGAGGTGCATAGGGTACATACAAATGAAGTGGTCCAGTCTGGGCTGCCATAGGAGCTGGCCTGGGGGTTGGGTTAAGGTGGGGGGTGTCTCAGCCTTACCCATCTTTTGCAGGTTCATTGAGATCCTCCATGCGCCATAGCCAGCTCTCAGGGAACTGGCTTCGGGAAATGATATCTTCTTCCGGGATTATATCCTCATCCAAGTCACCTAGGAGGCACGGGTGAGGAGAGGGCATTATGGGTTTAGAACACACCCATTTCTCCACTGTCCCCAGAGATATTTATCTCTACACATCTCTGGATTAACTTTATAGTT